TATTATTTTTTTCATCTCGAAAATTATGAACAAACAAAATATAATAAATACTTATGTATATGTAGGAATATTCTTCAAATATTTCATTAAAATGCACAATTAGTTGATAAACAATACTTATTTATTATGAATATGAACAATAAGATTTCATTAAAAAAAAACAAACGAGGTCAGGTAGGATGTTCTTTTATTTTATATTTATGTTAGTATTTGAGATTTTACGCAGTATGGTACGAGCCAAAATGGTAGCTATAATAAAATGGGAAGTATAAATTTTTTAAGCATCTAGCTTCCTTTCTTTTTCTTTTTCTGAGCTTGAAAATTATGAACAAACGAAATATTATGAAAACTGCATGTAGGAATATTCTTCAAGTGTTTAATTAACATTTTGAGCTAGATTCTGTGGGTCATCCACCGTGTTTAAAAAAAACCGCTTACAGAACACAGTGCTCGGGAATAAAAAGTTTCGTTAAATTCCACAAAGGGTAGAGAAGCATCGAAACTATGTGATGAAAAGAACAATCTTTCAAAATATTAACGAAATTTGCTTCAACGTCGATATTTTGAAAACAAAATGTGCCTCTAAAATCATAACATTTACACGACATGCTAGATGCTTTAAAAATTTTCTGCTTCCCACGTTTCTATGATAAAATAATTCTGGCTTATGTCACACTGCGTAAAATGTCAAATACTAAAAATAAAATAAAAAACCTACCTGACCTCGTTTGTTTTTTTAAAGAAACTTTATTGTTAATTCATAATAAATATTGTTTATCAACCAATTGCGCATTTTAATGAAATATTTGAAGAATATTTCTACATATACATAAGTGTTTATTATAATATTTCGTTTGTTCATAATTTTCGAGATGAAAAAAATAATAAAAAACCATATGGTGCGTTTTGAAAAAAAAAAAAAATGTCACGCGATGGACTCGAACCAGCGATCTCGTGAGTGTCAGTCCCGAACGCTACCAATTAGACCACGCTCCCATTTGAAGAATGCGTCACATCTAGTGGATTTAACTGTCAGGTAAAACTTTAAAATCGATTATCTCGGTAATTTATGAACGTTGTGTCGAACTACTTCGAAAAATTCTTATTCAAGGTCCAAACTACGCGTACTATAAATATCAAAAATTACAAAAATCCGACTACCTTACCTTCTCCTTGTAAGTTTGAGTGGACATATATCAGACAATTTTTATCAAAAAATACTTTACAACCTTTTATTTTGAAGGAAATTTTATCTACTTTTTTTTCTATGAAGCAATGCCTATACCTATCTTTACTCAAAAAAAAACTAGAGACAAAAAAGTAAAAAAAAAACAATCTAATTTTTTGCTTTTTTTCAAATTATTTATTAACGATTTTTTTTGCATAAAAATTTTCCTTTTAATTTTTTTTAATAAGCTATATCGATGGGAATTTTAATTCTCTAAATAATTTTTCCTACAAACATAGCGAAATTTTGCTTCGTTTTCGAGCTACAATTAAAAAACTGAAAGGGGTGCATTTTCACCCCTATCTCCAATTTCCACCCTCTAATTTAATAGCACTCCGTGGTTTTTTCATTTAAAATGACCCTTTGAAAAATTCATGCAATAAAATTGCACCCTATTTAACCCTATTTTTTTTTTGGATATAATCAATATAGCCTAATAATAAAATCATCTCCTTTCAATTGTAAAATAAAAGTGGCAAAAATGTTCAGACTCACTTAATTGACTTGCCACGTGGTACAACGCCTTGTAGCTCCTCACCATCCTCGCGTGCATTTCTTTTATGCTCGACAGATCGGGCTCCTTAGTCACCGTAATACCAATTTTTACTCTGCCGTTCTTCAAAGCTTCTTTGCTGTCTTGTACCTAAGGTTAAAACGTTACGTTACAGCGTACAACGAAACATTAAAACGATTGTACTCACTATGCCTTGGGAACCGTAATACAGATTTGTAAGTATGAAGCAAGTGGAACCCAACGGGAAAACGTCGTGTATACTTCTGAAAGTCGAGTGGTAAGAATCGTAAGTGGAGATATCGGACACGATCGATTGCAAGGGATAATAGGCGATGTTTGACGTGAAGACTTTCTCCAAATTTATCCTGCCGTTTTGAGAAAACGCGTATCTCCGACCGGTCATTACTTGTACGTGGACCAACACGTTCGTCTCGCCCACCTCTATGCCCATGCGGTTATGATAACTGAAATAGTCGTTTTTGAATTAAACTCGAGGAAGTGTCACATAGGTATGAAAAGAAAAGTGTACGGTTTAGAAATACAAACTCACTATTCTCTTATGCCTTGAACTTCGTCGTCGAAATCGTGCATTCCCGTCCTTGCTTCAACGTTGTAAGCGTTCGATTCGCCCATGCTTATATATTTCCACTTCTTGTTAGATATACAGGAAACCCTTGAAAACAAATAAAGATATGGAGCATAGTCATAAATTTTAATTCTTAAAATCTTAAATCAACTTTTTTAAATTACAAAAATCAAGGTTTTTAGAGAAAAACTTATAGGCTATTGATATTAGATGAAAAAAACCGTGGAGTGTTATTACATTAGAGGGTGGAAATTGGAGATAGCGGTGAAAATGCACCCCTTTCAGTTTTTTAATTGTAACTCGAAAACGAAGCAAAATTTCACTATAGTTCATAGGAAAAATTCTTTAGAAAATTGAATTAATTTATTTAAAAAATTTTAAAGGAAAATTTGATGCAAATATGCAAACTTTAATTTTTTTATTTTTTTACTTTTTTGCCACTTTTTTTTGAGTAAAGATAGGTATAGGCATTGCTTCGTAGAAAAAAAAGTAGATAAAATTTCCTTTAAAATAAGAGGCTGTAAAGTATTTTTGGATGGGAATTGACTGATAAATGGCCGCTCAAACTTACAATTAGCCAATTTTTCGATTTTCGTCGCGTTTACTCTTATATGTTTTAATTCTCATTTTTTGAAAAAAGGAAGGAAATAAGACGTCCAAGGATTTTCATCACATGACTTGTTAGAAGGGTCATTAAAAATCAAAAAACGGTGTGTTGATTAAATTAGAGGGTTGAAATTGCAGATAGGGGTGAAAATGCACTTTTGCAGTTTTTTAAATATGGCACGAAAACAAAGCAAAATTTCGGTATAATTCATAGGAAATATTTTGCAGAGAAGTGAATTTTTCATTGAAATGGCATATTTAAAAAAATTAAAAGAAAAAATTTATGAAAAAATTGTTAATAAACAATTTGAAAAAGAAGCAAAAAATAAGATTTTTTTGTTTTACTTACTTTTTTGACTGAAGTCCTGAAAATTTTTATTTATTATTAACAAATAGAAGTTTTGAAATAATTTTTTATTAAGTAACGAACCAATTTGTTGTAAAAATAATAAGAATTATAATCATTATTATGCTAAAAACAACAAAAATCTAAAAAATATTGAAGTTTGACCGGTTATAACTGTCAATATTAGTCCAAAAACTTTTAAAAACACCTCATTTTGACGGGAATCTCATCTAGTTTTTTTGTACAGCAATTTTCTTTGCCTACTTCTACTAAAAAAAAAAAATTAGTCAAAAAAGTAAAAAAAAAAATCTTATTTTTTGCCGTTTTTTAAAATTGTTAATTAACGATTTTTTGTATAAAATTTTTTCTTTTAAATTTTTTAAATAAGCCAAGTCGATGCGAAATTCAAATCTGTACAAAATTTTTCCTATGAATACCGAAATTTTGCTTCGTTTTCGTGCTATATTTAAAAAACTGTAAAAGTGCATTTTCACCCCTATCTTCAACTTCATTCCTCTAATTTAATAGCACCCCGCGGTTTTTTCATTTTTAATGACCCTTCGAACAAGTCATGTGATGAAAATCCTTGAACGTCTTATTTCCTTCGTTTTTTTGCAAAATATGAGAATTAAAACGTGTAAGGGTAAATGCGACGAAGATCGAAAAATTGGCTAATTGTAAGTTTGAGTAGCCATATATCAGGCAATTTTCAAAAACTAGAGGCAAAAACGTAAAAAAAATACAAAATTTAAGTTTTTGCTTTTTTTCAAATTGTTTATTAACGATTTTTTGCATAAAATTTTCCTTTAAA